TACCAGCATATTAACTCCAGCACCCTCTTGCAGGATGCAATGGGAATCTCCAATACTGATAAAGTGCAGGGTAAAATTTAGCAGGGGATTAAAAGCTAGTTCAACCCAAAGCTGACATGCCAGTTTTGGAAGGGATCCAGTGAATCCCTTTGTCAGCTTCTTATACGTCTCTGTAAGGTTACCGAATGCTAGTGTCTATCTCAACTTCTTTATGCAAACTCACAAAGGTGTCACTCTCTTACAGTTGCAGTTGATCAATCATCATCAAGGGAGTAAAACACCAACGCTTGGCCTAGTTGGGCAACACTGAGAATTCCAATGAGCATTTCTCACCGTGGGAGTCCTGAAGACCTATAGGAAGCCAACATCTGACTCAACTTTCCGGTTCCATAAACTGTCATCTTTGGGCAGAGTTAGCCTTCAATTTCTGCACATTTACAGGGTTATTCACAGAAGGGTGAAGAGTTTGGAGAAGGCAGGAGATGTGAACAATCTAGGACAACATAGCTGACCTGGAAAGTGAGCTGAATTGGAGAATTTTTCACAATCAGCGATGTTGTCCTAGATTGTTCACATCTCCGGCCTTCTCCAAACTCTTCACCCTTCTGTGTACATGAATGTGTTTGGGGACCTAGTGCATCTCTACCAATGGTTTTCCCAAACCCCTTAACATATGCTAATCATACAGACCTGTTACAATGATCAGCCGATGAAAGCAGTTAACTGGCAATGGCTCTGCTGCAGGTAGAAGAGCTATAAATTCTCTTGTTACTTTTTCTGTTGTTCTTAATTAGAATCATTTTCCTAAAAGACAAGCCAGCATTGGAAGAGAATCTGCCTTGCCCCCTCGTTCCCGCTCCGTTAACAAGTACCCCTTGGGAGACCCAAAAATGTCCAAGCGCTACATAAAATCTATGGCCAGCTTTAACCGAGGCATAACCCTAGGCCTATTTTCCTTCTTCGATTCATAGTCAATAAGCCTATAGTCATTGATGGAATGCACACAGATGTTCTATCCTGAGCACTCTGACGCTCTCTTTTATCTGTGAGCATTTGGTTCTAGATAGGGATGTTCAGATAGCAGTTCAGATACCAGTGCCGATACTTGGGCATTTTCATGAGAACTACCAGGGTTGCAGCGGTCGCAGCTGGGACCGGGCTCTGGTGCTCCACCACTGTCCTGAAATCAATAGTCTGTGTTGTTTTAGAAAAACTGTCACATGACAATAAACAAAACTGTATCAGTACTTGTATCTGCGAGTACTTGGGCAAGTATCAGTACTTGTACTTGAAAAACTAGTATCGGTGCATCCCTTATATATATATATATTTTTTTAATAATACATTAAAACAGAGATGTACAAATCCCAGGAGCTCCGTGTGCTCCTCACAAATGACAGCGGCCCCCTAACTTTTGAATTTTTCTCTAGTCTAGTCTCAGAGCTCGAAAAGTATCTGTATTTGGACCGAGTACGGTACTTGGTATCTGAACATCCCTAGTTCTAAAACACGCACTGTGCTGCTTTGCCATCAAATAGCAATCACTTTAAGAACTGATGACAGGACAAAAAAAAGAGGGTGAAATACGGACGCCTCTTTACGATATTTAAAACTTCTTCATAGATTTGGTAACAGGCCCCAAAATAGTGTATTAAAGGCGCAATTGATAATACAGAAGTAAAAGAGAGAGCCCAAAAAACATCAGCACTGATAAACAAGACTTGCGTGCCTTTTGCTTATTTCCTTTTTTAAGTTAAAAAAGAAAACATATCTGTAATATTGTTACAAGCGTGAAAACGTCTTGATGTAAACAGCGAGCTGCCACTAACTTGGCTTCGACAAAAGCCGCCTTGCCTGGTTTACTGAGAGGAAGAGGCTCGCGGATCAGGTGTCAGACTCATTGTTTGGTTGCCAGAATATATATCCATCCAGTTTCTGCTGCTGCTAACTTTTCTTAACAAATCTGACCTCAGACGAAATTAAACCACTTCAAAAAGAATCTTTTTTTTCTTTTTTTCCCCCTCCCTGAGACTTGCCCACGTTAGCCAAAGCAGCACCCACAGCTGCAATTCCCCAAACGTTATTTCTTGTGGTTGACTGGCTACAAATGATCAAAGGTTAAATTTTATCTCGGAGGTCAACTGCCTGGTGGCAAAGGTCGTGACCTTAACAACTTAAATGTGACTTAGGCACGTGCCTGCTTTAACTCCTCATCTCCATACAGATCGTCCATCTTTGGAAAAGTCATACATTTTATTTATTTTCCTTATTAC